GAGAGAGAGAAGGGGGGAGCTACCTTGTGGTGGTTCCGGGGTTCATGGTCCCCGCGGCCCGGTTCACAGTTCCCTTAGCAATGCAAAATCCAGTCTCTGTTTTTCTTCAACATCAACATTTCAGTCCCCTAAATTTATCATTATGTCACCGATCATCTAAGTGTGTGTCCCGAGCCATATTCCAGAATGAAAAATGCATGAAGCTCTCGTGCTTTAATTTTCAGTGCAGTGATTTTCCTGAATAATAATAATAAGTGTTTACACTCGGTTACTTCCCTGTTTTTTTTTAACTTCCGTTTTCTTTTCTGTCTCGGTAAGTAGCACAGTCTTGGTGTAGCCGCCAAATGTGGGAGGACGTTGTCTTTCATTCATATTTCTGGATTCTTTTCTTTATTGATATTGATATAGCACAGGGGTATTTTTATAGCTATCTCAATATACTCAAATTATTTTCACACACACACACACACACACACACACACACACACACACACACACACACACACACACACACACACACACACACACACACACACACACACACACACACACACACACACACTAATTTCATTAAAATATAATACTTACATAATTCCTTATTTACACACCCAATTCGTCAAGTTCACGAACAGGAGCAACCACAATCCCACCAACACATACGAATTAAACAACACAAACACATCAACACACACACAAACACACCAACACACACACACAAACACACACAAACACACCAACACACACAAACACACTAACACGCAAACACACCAACATACACACGAACATGGCAACACACACGAATACAAAAACATTCAGATACACCGATACACACAAACACACACACACACCAATACACACGAACGAATCAACACACACCAACAAAGCAACACATACACACGAATAAAACAACAAACACACCAGCACACACCAACGCACACAAAAACACACACACACACACACCAACAATGCAACACACACGAAGCTACAGTTTAAAGAAACCATTACCCAATAAACATTTCACGGAGCGAGGGAGACTGAGGTACATAGTCGAAAGTTTGTTTCCAGGAAAACTCTCTCACTCACTACTTCTCCCTTGGACAGAAACGGGCCAATTTTTATTCAGGCCATTGTTTATTTGGGCCAGTTTTCCCCTCGGAGAAAAACATCCATTTCGTCCGCAAGAATAACCTTTACAGTTCTCTACAGGCAAAGAAAAAAAAACTGTGAAATAAACGTAGTAAGTTTTGCAACATAAGCAGAAAAGTTCAATTTTATCTAAAGGGGAAAAATCACCAGCCAGAGTTTACAATTATTTGAGCCAGCACATCACTCCAACACAGCCCACACTAAGACCTTAGAGTGAGCACATCACTCCAATATACTCCACACCAAGACCTTAGAGTGAGCACATCACTCCAACACAGCCCACACCAAGACCCCAGAGTGAGCACATCACTCCAACACAGCCCACACTAAGACCCCAGAATGAGCACATCACTCCAACACAGCCCACACTAAGACCCCAGAATGAGCACATCACTCTAACACAGCCCACACTAAGACCTTAGAGTGAGCACATCACTCCAACACAGCCCACACTAAGACCTTAGAGTGAGCACATCATTCCAACACAGCCCACACTAAGACCCCGGAATGAGCACATCACTCCAACACAGCCCACACCAAGACCCCGGAATGAGCACATCACTCCAACACAGCCCACACCAAGACCCCGGAATGAGCACATCACTCCAACACAGCCCACACTAAGACCCCGGAATGAGCACATCACTCCAACACAGCCCACACCAAGACCCCGGAATGAGCACATCACTCCAACACAGCCCACACCAAGACCCCAGAGTGAGCACATCACTCCAACACAGCCTACACTAAGACCCCGGAATGAGCACATCACTCCAACACAGCCCACACCAAGACCCCGGAATGAGCACATCACTCCAACACAGCCCACACCAAGACCCCAGAGTGAGCACATCACTCCAACACAGCCTACACTAAGACCCCAGAGTGAGCACATCACTCCAACACAGCCCACACTAAGACCCCAGAGTGAGCACATCACTCCAACACAGCCCACACTAAGACCCCAGAGTGAGCACATCACTCCAACACAGCCCACACCAAGACCCCAGAGTGAGCACATCACTCCAACACAGCCCACACCAAGACCCCAGAGTGAGCACATTTGTTCTATGCAAACCCAAGACCAAGAGCTAAACGTTCATTACGAACATCACCAACACAGCAAGGTTAACACCGCCATACACCAACACAGCAAGGTTAACACTCCCATACACCAACACAGCAAGGTTAACACTCCCATACACCAACACAGCAAGGTTAACACCCCCATACATCAACACAGCAAGGTTAACACTCCCATACACCAACACAGCAAGGTTAAGACTCCCATACACCAACACAGCAAGGTTAACACCGCCATACACCAACACAGCAAGGTTAACACCGCCATACACCAACACAGCAAGGTTAACACCCCCATACACCAACACAGCAAGGTTAACACCCCCATACATCAACACAGCAAGGTTAACACCCCCATACATCAACACAGCAAGGTTAACACTCCCATACACCAACACAGCAAGGTTAACACTCCCATACACCAACACAGCAAGGTTAACACCCCCATACACCAACACAGCAAGGTTAACACCCCCATACATCAACACAGCAAGGTTAACACCTCCATACACCAACACAGCAAGGTTAACACCCCCATACATCAACACAGCAAGGTTAACACTCCCATACACCAACACAGCAAGGTTAACACCTCCATACACCAACACAGCAACGTTAACACTCCCATACACCAACACAGCAAGGTTAACACCTCCATACACCAACACAGCAAGGTTAACACCCCCATACATCAACACAGCAAGGTTAACACTCCCATACACCAACACAGCAAGGTTAACACCTCCATACACCAACACAGCAAGGTTAACACCTCCATACACCAACACAGCAAGGTTAACACCGCCATACACCAACACAGCAAGGTTAACACCCCCATACACCAACACAGCAAGGTTAACACCCCCATACACCAACACAGCAAGGTTAACACCTCCATACACCAACACAGCAAGGTTAACACCCCCATACACCAACACAGCAAGGTTAACACCCCCATACACCAACACAGCAAGGTTAACACCCCCATACATCAACACAGCAAGGTTAACACCCCCATACATCAACACAGCAAGGTTAACACCCCCATACACCAACACAGCAAGGTTAACACCTCCATACACCAACACAGCAAGGTTAACACCTCCATACACCAACACAGCAAGGTTAACACTCCCATACACCAACACAGCAAGGTTAACACCCCCATACACCAACACAGCAAGGTTAACACCTCCATACACCAACACAGCAAGGTTAACACCTCCATACACCAACACAGCAAGGTTAACACCTCCATACACCAACACAGCAAGGTTAACACCCCCATACACCAACACAGCAAGGTTAACACCTCCACACACCAACACAGCAAGGTTAACACCTCCACACACCAACACAGCAAGGTTAACACCTCCATACACCAACACAGCAAGGTTAACACTCCCATACACCAACACAGCAAGGTTAACACCCCCATACACCAACACAGCAAGGTTAACACCTCCACACACCAACACAGCAAGGTTAACACTCCCATACACCAACACAGCAAGGTTAACACCTCCACACACCAACACAGCAAGGTTAACACCTCCATACACCAACACAGCAAGGTTAACACTCCCATACACCAACACAGCAAGGTTAACACCCCCATACACCAACACAGCAAGGTTAACACTCCCATACACCAACACAGCAAGGTTAACACCCCCATACACCAACACAACAAGGTTAACACCCCCATACACCAACACAGCAAGGTTAACACCTCTATACACCAACACAGCAAGGTTAACACCTCTATACACCAACACAGCAAGGGTTAACACTCCCATACACCAACACAGCAAGGTTAACACTCCCATACACCAACACAGCAAGGTTAACACCTCCATACACCAACACAGCAAGGTTTAACACCACTATACACCAACACAGCAAGGTTAACACCTCCATACACCAACACCGCAAGGTTAACACCTCCACACACCAACACAGCAAGGTTAACACCACTATACCCAATGTGAATAAAAATAGTATCGTAATATTGAACCATTTAAAAATAATATAAATGACATAAGAAATAAGAAGAGAAGCACCCACGCCACTGTAGTGTACACGAGCGCACTTCGAATAACGAAAGCAATAATGACAACGATGATGCAAAATTAAAAATACCGACAGAAAACAGCCAAGTTTGAGTCCCTCAAGATCCTCAACATTCTCACCAGCTAAACAACTTTACTCGTTATATATCAACCCATCAGCCTATAATGATAATGCTTATAGCAACTATTTGCTCGAACGATCAAACATTTACTATTTTGTAAAAATAAAGCCAACAGTGTTCACGTTTTGTTCTATTAATTTTATAGAAGGCCACCATGTGGCATTTGTTCTATTAATGTTATAGATCCACCATTTTATAGATTTATTTGTTCTATTAATTTTATAGATCCGCCATGCGAACCACCATATGATTCGCATGGTGGATCAGCATTCATTCACAAAATAAATGGAATGTATTAGCAGTAATGTGGTGGAGGCAGAGTCCATACACAGTATCAAATGTATATAAGATAGAGCTCAATAAGCTCAGGAACCTGTACACCAGTAGATTGACAGTTGAGAGGTGGGACCAAAGAGCCGAAGCTCAACCCCCGCAAGCATAACTAGGTGAGTACAACGCTGGTGCGTAATAAGAGTCTACGATTGTCTTAGAACTCGTTACGAGGTCGCATGGAATATTTATTTTATTTGTTCTAGGAATACAGTACTTAAGTTCTTAAGTACTTAAGTACTTAATACTACTTAAGTTCTTCCCGAGAAGCTCTGAAGTAGGATAGGAGAATAATTAGCTAATGGTATTTTTATACAGATTAATAACACATATAAATACTTAATAATAAGATTAATCATTTTATTAATAATAATACTGATAACAATAATCTCGATGCCCTTACCATACGACATACGCAAAATTATGACTCATTTTATTGGCGACTCAAACATACTCTCACTTCAACAATTCCAAAACCTTATAAATGTATGGTTGAGGCGACACAATGGTATTCAATAAGAATATTGAATAGTACTGTTCGTGTCTGACGTGCACAAAAATAATAATAAAAACAATAATATTAATAATATGGAAAATGTTAAAGAATATTTTATTCACAAAATTTACGTTAATGTCGCTTAATTCTTCTGTAATGGTCCACTGTTGACTCGAGGTTTGGCTCGACTGTGTGTTTCACCCGAGTCATAGACATTATAGCTAATTATCACTTATATTTTACCCTTTAATTTCCTGAGCAATAGCGTGTTTGTGTGTATATTTGCTCCTCGCATCTGCTCGTCTGAATTGTCGAGGAAAATAATCTTCAGGAGCGTTCAGATTGCCAAAACTCTTCTCTGACCTTCCTCGCTGATTCTAAATTTGGCAGAGTGATTTTAGTTTGTGAAAAGTATTATCCAAAGGTTATACGGAGTCTAGACGATGACTTTAAATAAGATTTAAATTTAGTTTTAACAAACTTCTGGCTGTAAGGCTTAGTTAAGGACTGGGCCGCGGGGAGGCTAAGCCCCGAAACCATTTCAAGATATCTCTCAGGGTAAGATATTCTTTAACATAACGAGTTCTTCAGGAAGTAATAACCAAATGAACTCCTGAGACTTAAAATATAAAATGTATTAGACCACTGGAACTAAGGCTACATACTTCAAACTGCGTCGTGCTAGGCAACTATCCATAACCCCCTCCCCCGCCCCTCCCCCTCCTCCCCCCACATATCCCCCCCTCCCCCCTCCCCCACTCCTCAAAACACGCCAAACAAACGCACATGGGAATGGCAAAACTCGACACCATTAAAGGTAGAGCTTCCATTATGGAGTAAGTGTGTTGTCTACTGCTAAATATTTTAGTGGTGAACCTTGGTGACTGTGTGTGTCTGTACTCACTTATTTGTACTCACCTATTTGTGCTTGCAGGATCGAGCATTGACTCTTGGATCCCGCCTTTCTAGCCATCGGTTGTTTACTGCAAAGACTCCTGTCCCATTTCCCTATCATATCTAGTTTTAAAATTAATAATAGAGTTTGCTTCCACAACCTGTTCCTTACGCATTCCATTTTTCCACTACTCTCACGCTAAAAGAATACTTCCTAACATCTCTGTGACTCATCTGAGTTTCCAGTTTCCACCCATGTCCCCTCGTTCTGTTACTATTACGTGTGAACATTTCATCTATCTCCACTTTGTCACTTCCCCTGAGTATGTTATATGTTCCTATCATATCCCGTCTCTCCCTTCTTTTTTTCTAGTGTCGTAAGGTTCAGTTCTTTCAGGCGCTCTTCATATCCCATCCCTTATAACTCTGAGACAAGCCTCGTTGCAAACTTTTGAACCTTTTTCAATTTCCTTATGTGTTTCTTCAGATGGGGACTCCATGATGGTGCGGCATACTCTAAGACTGGTTTCACGTAGGCAGTGTAAAGCGCCCTAAAAGCCTTCTCACTTAGGTTTCTGAATGAAGTTCTAACTTTCGCCAGTGTAGAGTACGCTGCTGTCGTTATCCTATTTATATGTGCCTCAGGAGTTAGGTTAGGTGTTACGTCCACTCCCAGGTCTCTTTCTCGAATCGTTACAGGTAGGCTGTTCCCCTTCATTGTGTACTGTCCCTTTGGTCTCCTATCACCTGATCCCATTTCCATAACTTTACATTTACTTGTGTGACTATATATTACTTTATATATAGACACTATATATTACTGTGACTATATATATATATTATATATTTATATATATATATATATATATATATATATATATATATATATATATATATATATATATATATATATATATATATATATGACAATGTCAGACCACGGAGGACAAATGAAAAAGGAATTTCCTTAAGTACTTTCGTATATTAATACATCTTCAGAAGGACTCCTTCTGAAGATGTATTAATATACGAAAGTACTTAAGGAAATTCCTTTTTCATTTTCCTCCGTGGTCTGACATTGTCACATTTTAATCACGTGTTTATTTTCGTGATACACACACACACACACATATATATATATATATATATATATATATATATATATATATATATATATATATATATATATATATATATATATATATATATATGTCGTACCTAGTAGCCAGAACTCACTTCTCAGCCTACTATGCAAGGCCCGATTTGCCTAATAAGCCAAGTTTTCATGAATTAATTGTTTTTCGACTACCTAACCTACCTAACCTAACCTAACCTAACTTTTTTGGCTACCTAACCTAACCTAACCTATAAAGATAGGTTAGGTTAGGTTAGGTAGGGCTGGTTAGGTTCGGTCATATATCTACGTTAATTTTAACTAAAATAAAAAATAATTGACGTCATACATTATGAAATGGGTAGCTTTATCATTTCATAAGAAAAAAATTAGAGAAAATATATTAATTCAGGAAAACTTGGCTTATTAGGCAAATCGGGCCTTGCATAGTAGTAGGCTGAGAAGTGAGTTCTGGCTACTAGGTACGACATATATATATATATATATATATATATATATATATATATATATATATATATATATATATATATATATATGTGTGTGTGTGTGTGTGTGTGTGTGTGTGTGTGTGTGTGTGTGTGTGTGTGTGTGTGTGTGTGTGTGTGTGTGTGTGTGTGCGCGCGCGTGTGTGCGTGTGTTTTGTAAGTGGATGGTTTAATGCATAATGTTTAGCTGTGTGTATGTGTTGGTAATTTTAAATATGTGTGAGATTACACATTAGCTGTGTTACTGGAGCTGAGCATCAGATCATAGGCTCCTCCTCTCAACTTTCAATGAATAATGAAGCGAAACAATTGATGGTGTGTGCGGATAGAGAATTAATCTATACATTTCGTCTACAATTTAATTTTATCGCAAGGTGATCACAAAGTGAGGGATCAGATAATCATGAATTGTTTCAAATAGCTCATTTTAACTATGTCCCTGACAACTGCAAATTCCCAGAGTTAAGAATGGATTTGTGCAAGATCGGATAAAAAATTATTGCTACATCTAGAGATGTAAATGATGTATGGGTGAGGAAGGGAATTATCGGGGAAAATCGCCATGTTATTACGATTATATAGCAATGGGAAGGGATCAGGATAAGGATTTGGGATGGGACAGGGGGGGAGGGCGGTCTGTCAGGAGAAAGCGCCAAGTCATCGCGACTATATGGCACGGGGAAGGGGTCAGGATAAGGATTTAGGATGGGACGGGGGAAAGGAATGTCGCCCAACCACTTGGACGGTCTGGGATTGAACGCCGACCCGCATGAAGCGAGACCGTCGCTCTACCGTCCAGGACAAGTAGTTGAGGGATGGGACAGCGGGAAGAAACGTTGCCCAAAAACTTGGACGGTCGGGAATTGAACTCCGACCTGCATGAAGCGAGACTATCCTCAATTTAGGCTGGACGGTAGAGCGACAATCATAATAATCTGCATACTATTATAAACATATGACTCGTCATCACATGGCTGAAACTAACATGGGGGGAGAATTATGTTCACACAGTGTTGCAGTTCTTGCTACTGCACAGCTGTTATCTCTGCTGAGCTTTAACACATCATCCTAGTGCAATGGAATGAATATTTGACACGAGCACTCCTGCAACTACAGATATATGCCCCCCCAAAGGTCATTTATTATTCATTTCCATACTTTATATTATAGTTTTAGTATCGGTGAGGGTATTCTCAGTTTATAAATTACGAACTAACCTTCTTTGTCCTAGATCCATGGTTGATTGTTCTCGATCCATGGTTGATTGTCATAGATCCATGGTTGATTGTTCTCGATCCATGGTTGATTGTCATAGATCCATGGTTGATTGTCCTAGATCCATGGTTGATTGTCATAGATCCATGGTTGATTGTCATAGATCCATGGTTGATTGTCATAGATCCATGGTTGTTTGTCATAGATCCATGGTTGATTGTCATAGATCCATGGTTGATTGTCATAGATCCATGGTTGATTGTCATAGATCCATGGTTCTTTGTCATAGATCCATGGTTGATTGTCATAGATCCATGGTTGATTGTCATAGATCCATGGTTCTTTGTCATAGATCCATGGATGTTTGTCATAGATCCATAGATGTTTGTCATAGATCCATGGATGTTTGTCATAGATCCATGGTTGATTGTCATAGATCCATGGTTGTTTGTCCTAGATCCATGGTTGTTTGTCATAGATCCTTGGTTGTTTGTCATAGATCCATGGTTGTTGTCATAGATCCATGGTTGATTGTCATAGATCCATGGTTCTTTGTCATAGATCCATGGTTGATTTGTCATAGATCCATGTTGATTGTCATAGATCCATGGTTCTTTGTCATAGATCCATGGTTGATTGTCCTGGATCTATGGTTGATTGTTCTCGATACATGGTTGATTGTCATAGATCCATGGTTGTTTGTCCTGGATCCATGGTTGATTGTTCTCGATCCATGGTTGATTGTCATAGATCCATGGTTGTTTGTCCTGGATCCATGGTTGATTGTTTCTCGATCCATGGTTGATTGTCATAGATCCATGGTTCTTTGTCCTAGATCCATGGATGTTTGTCATAGATCCATGGATGTTTGTCATAGATCCATGGATATTTGTCATAGATCCATGGTTGATTGTCATAGATCCATGGATGTTTGTCATAGATCCATGGTTGATTGCCATAGATCCATGGTTGATTGTCATAGATCCATGGTTGATTGCCATAGATCCATGGTTGATTGCCATAGATCCATGGTTGATTGCCATAGATCCATGGTTGATTGCCATAGATCCATGGTTGATTGCCATAGATCCATGGTTGATTGCCATAGATCCATGGTTGATTGCCATAGATCCATGGTTGATTGTCATAGATCCATGGTTGATTGTCATAGATCCATGGTTGATTGCAAATTCGAGTTCTTCGTTTCTCTTTTTTTGTGTACGTAAAAGGGGGTGGGGGTGTTAATAATTTAGTATTTTGAACATTACCTCTACAGATTCTCGCTGAACACCACCTACACCAGACTATCAGTGGCCACCACACTTGATTTAAAAGTGCGCAGCGTGTTGTAGAAAAAGCGTTCTGGAGCGTGTGCGTGGGGACACCCAGTACACAGGTACGAACCCACATCACGGCTCCTACGGATTTTCTCATTGATGCATCACGTTAGTGCGATTACCCTCTGTGTAACACTTGATTTCTTTAACATAACAAAGCTAAGGAAACTCTTCGCGAATTGAGAACGGGAAGAGCGCGAATCCTTCTGTCACTAACCGCCGCAGTGTTGTTATTCAAGGCATCTTAGCGGGCCTGAGAACGCAAGTACACTGAAAAAAAAAAAATAATTTATAAAATCGTGTACTGGTTTAACACACGGTTTAATCTGTGGAATTCCCTTCAGTTGTCCACGAAGAAGCTTGGCCAAAAGCCTCAGCGCAGGAATGGGTTAAATGCTCTTCGAGGCATTCCGAACACGCCGTCTTGCAGAACCCAGGGGGGGGGGGGTGTTCCACAGCCTCAGCTGATACTCTGGGAGTTGTCTCACTCATTGATGCCCTGACACTGATCCTTCCTTGTGGAGGACCGCGTGTCTTACGTGCTCGCAACATTACTGCTTCTTCAGATGGCATTAGTGTTTAGTTTGTATTTTCCCCGAGTGTTTTAAGAGAGAAGAGAGAGAGAGAGAGGAGAGAGAGCGAGGGAGACAAGAATAAAAGAGAGAGAGAGAGAGAGAGAGAGAGAGAGAGAGAGAGAGAGAGAGAGAGAGAGGGAGGGGGGGGGGGAGAGGGGGGGGGGGGGGAGGGGAGAGAGAGAGGGAGAGAGGAGAGAGAGAGAGAGAGAGAGAGAGAGAGAGAGAGAGAGAGAGAGAGAGAGAGAGAGAGAGAGAGGAGAGAGAGAGAGAGAGAGAGAGAGAGAGAGAGAGAGAGAGAGAGAGAGAGAGAGAGAGAGAGAGAGAGAGAGAGAGAGAGAGAGAGAGAGAGGAGAGAGAGGAGAGAGAGAGAGAGAGAGAGAGGAGAGAGAGAGAGAAGAGAGAGAGAAGAGAGAGAGAGAAGAGAGAGAGAGAGAAGAGAGAGAGAGAGAGAGAGAGAAAGAAAGAAAGAAAGAGAGGGAGAAAGAAAGAAAGAAAGAGAGAGAGTACCAGAGGGAGCCGGTCGGCCGAGCGGATAGCACGCGGGACTTGTGATCCTGTGGTCCTGGGTTCGATCCCAGGCGCCGGCGAGAAACAATGGGCAGAGTTTCTTTCACCCTATGCCCCTGTTACCTAGCAGTAAATTAGGTACCTGGGTGTTAGTCAGCTGTCACGGGCTGCTTCCTGGGGGTGGAGGCCTGGTCGAGGACCGGGCCGCGGGGACACTAAAAGCCCCGAAATCATCTCAAGATAACCTCAAGATAACCATCCTCACTGTCCTGTGTGGCAGTGAATATGAGCAGCATCCTCACTGTCCTGTGTGGCAGTGAACATGAGTACCATCCTCACTCTCCTGTGTGGCAGTGAACATGAGTACCATCCTCACTCTCCTGTGGGGCAGTGAATATGAGTACCATCCTCACTGTCCTTTGGGGAAGTGAATATGAGTACCATCCTCACTGTCCTTTGGGGAAGTGAATATGAGCAGCATCCTCACAGTGGCAGTGAATATAAGCAGTACCTCATTGCAATAAGATCTGACTAAATTTCTCCGATAAGGCAAATTTGTGTCTAAATTTATGAATAAAGATGTTACAATCACCACAAATGAAGACGTTGAAACAGATACCTCCGAGTATCTATATACATAAAAATGGAAATGTTCGTTTGTTCAAAATAGTTAATCTCCAAATGTTCTTCACGGATTGGTCTGAAATTTTCCCACAACGTTCCATTCGCATCCGAGCGGGTTTTTATATACATTATATATAGTTGTCAGGTCTGTGACGGGAAAAGAACACGCTTTTTTTTTAAAAACTGTGTTTTTAATGTGTGATAAATCTTTGAAACCTCTTTACCGATTGCTTTGAAATTTTGACACACAGTTGCATTCGAATAGAGGCGTGTTTTTATATACCTACTATATACATGCCTCACCTGTGACAGGAAAAAACATAAAAACATGCTTTGTTTGAAAAACAGCGCCATCTGTTAAACGTAAAGAGCAACACACGCTGTAATCTTTGAAAGTTATATATATATAATATATATATATATATATATATATATATATATATATATATATATGCTATATTATATATATATAATCATATATGAAGCGAATTAGCCGAGCGTTAGCACTATCATATATAGTTAGTTAGATATATAGTACAACCGTGTGGTGACATATTCTGCAATTTTCTGTAGGGACCCATAGCATCAGGCTTAAGTGAATTCTCTCCAAACTCCGGAGAAAATAGAATACCTATTTGTAAAGAGTACTCAGAGAAGACCTTGTGGATCCTCACTGGACTACTAACCACTTGATATTTCTGTCTTCTCCTACCAGGCCCCGAGAATACTTTGGTTTAGATTCTTTTTGTATGTATGTATATGTTTCATTTTCTTTTATTTAACATTTCATTACACAAAAAGGGTTACAACATTGGTTACATACAGGGTACAAGGCTACTTGTCACAGGTTGTAGAGTTCCTCCAGCTCCTCAGATGGCGGGCAGGAACCATGAATGCAGTGAGCCATTTCCTCTCTGGATCGTCACACCAAGGCGCTGAATGGGAAAACTGGCTGCTATGAGGGCTCTAGTTGTTTCGATTAATTTAGAACTAATTATCAGCTCCTTCAAAAAATTAGCGGTCCTTTTACCCCAATCACCAAGTGTCTCTGAGACAATTGGGGACAAAATTGTAGTGGTGATCAAGATCTCTGCATTTAATTGACTTGGCTGCTTCCCGGTGATTGGCAGCACCTCCTGCCTGTGCAACACTGAAGTCAACATAGGCATTGGCAAAAGTTGAAACGCAAGTGTAGTCCCACATCAACTGTCTACCATTCTTCTAGGGATTCACCGCGATCCGGTCTGGACGACCGACAGACCGACCCCGCAGAGTGGCGGGACATTATGTAACGGGGTTCTCTCTCTGCTGGACAACCGGCTGTGGTAAGGTTTCTCTTAATAATGTCATTAACCTCCCTGTGTCTTGCATGCCATCCTCCTGTCCTTTGGCAGAGAAGGCCATGCCGTCCGTACCTGTCGGCCACTGCCTCGCCGCAAATATATATGTCGTTCGAGAAAAACAATACTCATGTGCAAACCCTCAGTAAAGTTCATGTTTAGTTAAGTCAGTTTAGGTTAGGTAAGGTTTGATTAGGTCCAGTGATATTAGGAAAAGACTAGGATATGTTTAGGGCTGGATAAATCAGGTCATGTTAGAACAGGTTAGGTTTGGGCAGGTCAGATAATGCTAAGGAGTTAGGTTTGGGTAGGGCAGATTAGGTCAGGCTAGGTTTCTGTGGGTCAGGTCATGTCAGGCTAATTAATAGGTAAGAATAGCCTGTTGGAGCATGTGAAAGACGGCTGTGAATGGTCTGGACACGAGGGCTGAGCAGCAATTTATCACTGTGTCGTGTTGAGGATGTAATTCTTTTATATATCACTGCGGGAGCAGAGATATGAGTTTGCGTGTTGCTCTGTAATATGTGTGAGCGCTGGGAGGGAATTTTGGTGGGCTGTATTGTGTGCGTGGGTAGTCCGAGTTTGTTTACGTGTGGGTGTGTATTCACCTAGTTGTGCTTGCGGGGGAATAAGCTCTGCTCTCTCTTTCTCAACTGTCACTCAATCAACTGTTACTAGCTACTATTCCCCCCGCCCACACACACAGCTAGAAAGCAGCCCGTAACAGCTGTCTAGCTCCCAGGTACCTATTTATTGTTAGGTAACAGAAGCATCAGGGCGAAAGAAACTCTGCCCATCTGTTTCCGTCGGCGACGGGAATCGAACTCCGGACCACAGGTACACGTGTCCAGCGTGCTGTCCACTAAGCCACCGGCCCCTGTGTATGTGTGTGTGTGTGTGTGTGTGTGTGTGTGTGTGTGTGTGTGTGTGTGTGTGTGTGTGTGTGTGTGTGTGTGTGTGTGTGTGTGTGTGTGTGTGTGTGTGTGTGTGTGTGTGTGTGTGTGTGTGTGGTGTGTGTGTGTGTGTGTGTGTGTGTGTGTGTGTGTGTGTGTGTGTGTGTGTGTGTGTGTGTGCGTGCGTGCGCGTGTGTGTGTACACACCACGCAAGAGACTACAGAGATGTCACTTGCATCTTGACCCAACAAGGTTACGGGCCGAGGAACACCGTCTCATTGATTATAACTGAGGGTGTTGTGCA